GCGGGGAGAAAGGGCCTGCTATTTGGGACCCTGGTCTACACATAAGCCAGGGGTGTGGGATAGAAGAGCCAACATTTATTGAGCACCTACAGTGTGCCAGTCCCAGACTGGGTGACTTCATTCTCTCGCCATTCAATTCAGTCCTCACCACAATCCTGAAAAATCCCATTTTTCCAGATGACAAAGCTGAGACCAGACCTGGATCACACCTAAAGCGAGAGTCTGAACTGGCATAAGCACTGACAGCATTACCTTTCACTAATGCAGTGGTTCTCAACCTTGGCTGCACGGTAGAATCACCTGGGAATCTTTTTAAAATCCTGATTTCTGGGCCTCATCCTCTGGAAATTCTGTTTCTTTGTTACTAATGTTGTGGCCCCACCACCTAACAAAGAAACAGAATTTCCGGAGGATGAGGCCCAGAAAATTAGGATTTTAAAAAGATTCCCAGGTGATTCTACTGTGCAGCCAAGGTTGAGAACCACTGTGCTAGAGAGAAACTAGCTACAGCATTTCCACCTGCAGGGATGCCAGAAGGGCCGTCAGTGAGGAAGTTTCACCATTTGACCTCCCCCTTTGTGGGGCAGCAGGTGGTCAAGACAGGGGGCAGCAGTAAGAAGCTAAACCCTGCCAGCTTCCAGTCCCTGTGGCTCCAGGACACCCAGGTGAGTCCATCATCGTCTGGTGGTCATACCTCCCACAGGTGGACTGGCTCCCTCAGCATCTCCTATGCCTCCCCTAGAATTTATCTCAGCACTTTCCATGCCATCACTTCCTTGAGCCCAAGATAACCATGCTAGGACTCCATGCAGCTCCTCTTTCAGTCTGATATTTCTCAGCCAGAAGTGAGCATTACAGTGGCCCCTGGAACTATAAAAAATACACAAGCTGGAGATTCTGATCACTTCAGTTGACTCTGATGTGCACCTTTGGTTGGGAATCATGTTTAATCCCACGGGGCCAGCAAGGATGTAAGGAAAGAGCATAGCCTTCTGATAGAGTTTCCAACCTGCTCACCTTTGCCCTGAGTGTAAGTCAGAATTCCCTCGAGGTCTGACTTGTGCCTCCCTCTCTAGCACACTTCTGCCCCTGCCCCAGATCTCTCTTCCAATCATATTGAAAGTTCTGGAGCTCCTCTAACAGTTCTCCTTGCCCATGCTTTCCCATGCTGCTCCCCTGCTTGAGCAAGTCTTCCTTTATCTTCCAACTCTGCCCCAATTCTTGTCGGCTCATGTTACCATGGCGCATCCACCTCTTCTAGTCTTCCCCTTTCTGGGTCTGTAAGCCTCTATCTGTCTGTGCTGCTGTAACAGAATACTACAGACTGGGTGGCTTACAAATCCAGAAATTTATTTCTCAGTTCTGGAGGCTGGAAATTCAAGATCAAGGTGCTGGCAGATTCAGTTTCCTGGCTCATAGATGGTCATCTCCCTGTGTTCTCACATGGTGGAAGGGACAAGGCCCTAATCCTATTCATGAAGGCTCCACCCTCAAGACCTAATCACCTTCCAGAGGCTCCACCTCCAGATACCATCCCATTGCAAGTTACAGTTTGAACATATGAATTTCGGGGGGGGGGGGGGGGAGGAGGTGGTGTACAAACACATCTATAAGCAAAGGCTTAGATCATATTTTTTTTCTAGGTCCACGGAAAGAAATTATTCCTTAGATTTGATCCAGATGAAGAAACCAAGTCTCCCGGCAACAACCCACTGCCAGAACCGCTAGGAAAAGGAGAGAGGAAGAAAGAGGCTGGGGACCAAAAGCAGACCTTGGGTCCCGACAGCCAGAAGATCTCAGACCAGTCTTCCCAGTCCGACAGTGGAGACAATGGTTCTGCATGTTTGGGGGGAGACAGCCCAGCAGGAGGTGCTGAGAGGTGGCTGCAGGTCAGCTTTGGTCTGTTTGGCAGCATTTGGGTGAACGAATTCTCCAGAGCAAAGAAAGCAAACAAGAGGGGTGACTGGAGGGACCCCATTCCAAGGTAATGGTGTGGTGGAGTGGGCTGTGGGCTGTGTCTGTCTGCATCTCTATGGGGTCTGCAGTATTAACATGGCCCCCAGGGAATGGCACACTCTCTGGGCACACTCAGGTGGCTGTCCAACCTGCTCTCCGGCAGTCCGCATCCTAGGAGAGAGAAGACACTTTTCTGTCTATTTGTCATAGAAAGTAGACTGTGGTCTGCACCCGGAGAGGAAGGGTCACATCCTGGGTCAGCTTAGCGAAGGGGAGATCTTCCCAACAAACGTGGTCCTGGGGGGTGGAGGTCTCTGAAGAACATTGGACAGCTTGACCAGTGCCCTCTGAATTTAGGGACAGAATTGTCCCAGTTCTTAATCTATTAATGTTGAGTCTACCTTAGTTCATAAAACTCTCTGCATGTTCAGGGTTATTTCCTTACTGTACACATCCAGAGGAGTCATTGCTGGTCAAGAGAATGAGCATTCTTCCTGTGGACCATTCTTAAGGCCTTGCAAAGGTGCTCGCTCGCTTCACTGAATTCTTAGTAGCATTGGATTGTTTGTGTGCTTTTGATCACTTTGTAGGAGCTTTTGGATATTGTGTATTAGCCTTTGTGATGTGTGGTCCCAGTATGGTTTCCTGTCTGTGTCCTTTGACACAATGTGCCTGTGGGCATTCAGGGTTTTTAATTTTTATGTAGTCAGTGTCAGTATTTTTTAAACACTTTTTTATTTTTCAATTAGAGGCCCGGTGCACAAAAATTTGTGCACTTGGGAGGGTCCCTCAGCCTGGCCTGTG